GCGAGGATGAAGCCTGCAACCAAGATACATGCCCTGGATGGGAGTTGAACCTTCAATCAGAGGACCGATGCTTTATCCACGGAGCCAAACCGGATAGGGTTCAAATTTCAGATTTTAAATGGGTCTTTGGCATATGTTAGTTCTCCAAAACAAAATATCTTAGTTTGATCCCCAACCTTACTTCTTTACAGATAATACCATCACTGGGTTAGGACATAACACTTTTGCTTCAGCTTCATAAAAATATGAAACAAGAAACATTCATTTTAAAATATTTCTGGTCTCGCCGAAACCAGTTTGGCTCAGTGGTAGAGCGTCTGTCTGCGGACTAAAGGGTCCCAGGTTCGATTCCGGTCAGGGGCATGTACATTGGTTGCGGACACATCCCCAGTAGGGGGTGTGCAGGAGGCAGCTGGTTGATGTTTCTCTCTCATCGACGTTTCTAGCTTTCTATCACTCTCCCTTCCTCTCTGTGAAAAATCAATAAAAATATATTTAAAAAAAATAAAATAAAATAAAATAAAATAAAAATAAAAATATCGATATTTCTGGTCTTTAACAAAACTGTAACCTACATTTTTCCAAAGGATGAAGTTCCAGAGATGAGGGAAGCTGTACCTGAATCACGTTGCTCAGCTTCCTTTGGCTATAGGAAATGCCAGTTCTAAGAAGAGGAATGGAGGAGAGAACAAGCTCACTCTCTTGGCAGGAAGGATGAGGTGAGGGATGGAGGAAAAACCAGCAAACTGCCTAGCAGCCCTTGTGAAAAATCTGAGATAACTAAAGGGATCCAGACCATTAGGCCTCCCACATCTCCTGAGAGTGTCACAGCCCATATTCCAGGCATCCTACCCACGGCCTCCGGGTGCTAGAAGCCAGAACAAGTCAAGCAGTAAGACCTAAGGTTAGCTGAATTGAAGACAGGACGGTTCTTTTCTACCTGCTTTATGCATTGTTCTTGGGAGGGTGAGGAAAGGTATCCAAATTAAAAAATAAATAAATGGTGAGATGTATGAGGAAACTGGAAATAATAATTTCTCATCAAGAAAAACTGAAAATTACTTTGTGGAGAGCAGCCCCCCCTCCTCACTTCATCCTTCACACACACACACACACACCCACACACACACACACACACACACCCCATTCCCAGGTCTCTTGGGCTATGATGTCTCCCCACAAAAGAAAAAAAAAACCTGGCAATCTGTGTACCCCTGATTAATGGAAACAGATTTTCAGAGTAGCTTCATACTCCATTTAATTGTCTCCCTCCCTGACTCCAAAAATGCTTGATTTGGCTGTGTAAAAGTAATTCTAATTATAGTGATTTACATGAACTACTTACCATTTATGCCTAATTACCTCACAGCACAATAACAATTATGCATACATTAAACGTGTCAGATTAACCTGGTTGTAAGTCTTATTTGATAACAAAAGTAAAGTGTTCATACATGCTCATTCTTCATAGTTTGTTGCTCACATAACGTGGTCATCCGCATGTAACTTGTTCAAATTTTTAGTAGAGAAAATCTTATTATGTGGGTAGGTGAAAGCAGCCAGACAATATGTTACTGACTTTATCTCATTAATTAATGATTTTGGCATCTTGGAAAGGTGTACTTTATTTTAATATTATAGATTAGCCTTACAGAAAGTTTCTTAGGAGTACAATGAGGAAAAACATATAGTCTACTACAATGAATGTTTAACTATCTGTATTAAAACAAAGTCAAATGTTCATAAAACCATAAATTTTATTTATCAAAATTAAGAACGCTATAAATAAAGTTCTTCTATTGAAGGAAAATAGTCCAATTTTCCTTCTCTGATAATCAGCATATCAGTGTTTATTTTTTTTTTAATAAGAAATAGGTTTGTGGCATCTTACAATCTTCAAAAACTAAAACTTTATAGATATCTTACTCAAATTCTGTCAGATGATTGGGTCATTTCTTTCTTTTTTTTTTTTCTTTTCTTTTTTTTTTTTTTAAATTCTTACCTGGACATATTTTTCCATTGATTTTTAGAGAGAGTAGAAAGGAAGGAGAGAGATACCGTGTTTCCCCAAAAATAAGACATCCTCCGAAAATAAGACCTAGCGCATGGAAAGATAAGACATCCCCTGAAAATAAGACCTAGCGCAACTTTGGGAGAAAAATTAATATAAGACACTGCCTTATTTTCGGGGAAACAGGGTAGACAGAGAAACATCAATGTGAGAGACACATCAATTGGTTGCCTCCTGAATACATCCCCAATCAGGGTCAGGGGTTGAGCTTGCAACCAAGATATGTGCTCTTGACTGGAATCGAACCCAGGACCCTTCAGTCTGCGGGCTGACACTCTCCACTGAATTAAACTGGCTAGAGCAATGATTGGGTCTTTTACAATGTTAAAGATTTGGTAGGCTGAAGAAATTACAGGACAAATATAACCACAAAGAGCTGTTTGATCTAACAACTAAACATTTATTCACATATGCATTAGCATTTAACAAATGTAAGCTTTCATTAAACACATTGAAATAGCTGACATGTCAAATCTCCTACTTACATAAGATTACAATTATACAATTAAACCAGGGTTATTTACTAGGTAGACCCATCATAGCCAATTCAGAAATCAATGGTGGAAGTGTAGGAGAACACCTCTAAGAAGAGCCAAACAATATATATATATTTTTTTTAACTTATGGGTTTTATTTTGCCAAACATAAATTTTAAAAGGAACTAACATTGTTGAATTGGCAACCAGATAAGTTAATAATTTAAGGATACTTCTAACTGGATGGGAAGTTCACCAACCACAGGATGATGAGCCCCAGAGATGATACAAAAAGGGAAGGAGGTAAAAAGACTGTATTTTCAAAAGGAAGAGGGACTAGAAAGGGAACAAAATATAAATTCATGAGACTAACTCAATTCTCAGGTAACCAAAAAAAAAAAAAAAAAAAAAAAACCCATTAAGTAAAACATCTTGTTTCCTGGCTATGGCACATATCCAAGTGGTTGTTTTATGTGGAAGACCACCTGTATTGCAAACTATGCTTAGGAGGCAGTAAATAAGAAGTCTAAGTCTTCCAAACTTTTTAGTACTTTACTCACCTAAAACTTTGGATATATGGTTAAAGGAGAAAAGGTTGGCCATCAAAAGGGGTAATTCGTCATTACTTCCAATAACTATTGTGCCGGACTAGTCCATCAGAGTGCCACTATACTTGTGGTCTACTTCTGAGGGAAACTGCCCTGCTCACAAGAGGTCTGGATGGAAACTTGTGCAGAGATCCCACCTTTACACTGGCTAGTGGCTTCTGAAACACCCGGTGTGAAAGCTGATGAAGTGATTGGTGAGGAAGAGATCAGATTCTTAGCGGCAATTTAAACCACCGATTCAGGGAGAGAATTTAGAAGCTGGTAAAACAAACAGAAGTGAAAATGCACATAGTGCGGGGGACAAAAGAGGAAATGGATTTCATGAGTAGAAGAGCAGTGGGGTAACTAGTAACCTGTTATACTGCCTGTCCAATCTTCAAAGCTTTCAGAGGCACTGGTTCTGAGGCTCAAGCTCCTGGAGGCCTGGCTGGGTAACGGAGGGGCCCTTCATTTCTATATGCATATGCAGTGTTTCCAAATCTCCATTTCTTTCTGTGATCTAAGTGACTCTCTATTCCTTTTAACCAAAAGATATTCACATAAAGCTATTTCATAAAAATAAAAGCTATTTTATAAAATAGAAATAAAAGCTATTTACATAAAAATAAAGCTATTTCATTATACTCTGGGTGCTTTTTAAAAAGTAAAATAAATTTCCGTTATTTTTAATAAAGCACGACTAACATATTATACAGGACTTTTCTCCTAAAGACCACATAATAAACAAATATTCGTGTGTGGGCGTAGGGGATGGGCAATTTGGCCAATTAAAAGAAAACTAGTTCCTTTGATTAAACCATATTCTAACTCATTACTATTAATATCCTCCATAATTTGAAGATGACACCACTGAGGACACTGACTTCTATAATGGGATAAGGAATGGGAGTTTTCCTGTCATCTCAGAATTTCAGCAAAAGCTCAAAGCTGAGGATAAGGAGAGACAAGGTGTCCTATGCTCTTGAGAGAGGCACTAGTTATATCCAAGCAGGAATTGTGGGAGGGGGAGGAGGATCGGCTCAAAAGCAAAAGTAGAACTGAAGAAAGTCATCAAGGTGAAAGCTGTTAGATAGGTAAGAAATGCTGTGGCATTTCCCCCAGATAAACCTCATGCCAAGTGCAGGGGTAACCTAAGAGAAGCATCTAAAAAAGTGAGGATTGAGTGTAAGTGTAAGCAGAATGCCTCCTTAGGTGAGGAAATCTAAAGTCAGCTATCAACGCAGGATGTGGAAGAGTTCATGGAAGAACGTGGCATGTGTCCCCAGGATCATGGGAGTACACAGGACTAAGACAGAGGCTGATGTCTGCTTCTTATCAGCAGAAGTCCAACGCCAGTTGGCTAACCAAAGCTGCCCAGGCAGAGGTGTGAGGTATTCTGCTACAGCCATAAGAGGTCAAAGAGTGGAGCACTGGGGAGATCCTGCGGAACCCACCACTGTGCCCCTCAAAAAAGAGCTGGCATGTCAACATCTATCACACCAAAGGTCCTTAACTGGTCGCTTAAGACTTTTATTTCACTCTAATCTTCTATCCCTATTATTCTGACCCTAGAGAAGCCAGGCAAGCAGAGAAAGAAGGAGGAGGAAAAGGAGAAGAACAAATCACTCCATCTTCACTGCTGATCCTCAGCCATGCCGCAGCAAGAGAAAGGGAAACATCTGAATCACCCAAGGTGAAGGAAAGCTATGGGACAACCGGAGGTCAGATGTGGGGATACATACTTTATTTAAAGGAAGTGGGGGAAATTTTTCAAGCTCTTTCAGATTGTACCCAACTGCATCTAGTCCATTTTATAAAATGCTTATACTTTTAACTGTTTAATCTTGAGCATCACACAAACCTCACCTTTGAAAAAATGCCTTCTGCTTCTAGACTGTATCCTTTAAGGTCCTCGTGTAACTTCTGCAAACACTGTATGACTCTTCTTTGATGTGCATCATCCTTTATCTCATGATTTTTTATTAGAAAGTCATAGTGGTCCAGAGGTCCATGGCAAAAAGCCAAAGCTTTCACGTAAGTTTCTGTGGCCACAGATGGAGACATACTCTCGGGTATCTGAACTGTATAGGCTATAAACAAAACAAAAAATGTATAAAATGTTAGACTTTCTTAGAGATGTTTCATAGTGCTGCTATACATGTCTCTTAATAGTCACATTAAAACTTTTAACCTGTTACAGATATATATTTGAGCAGTTCTTGTAAATATCATTCTGATAAAAACAATTTTGCACAGTAAATATTTTAAAACCATCTCATCTTAATAAAACAACCCTGGCTGGTTTGGCTCAGTGGATAGAGCATCGGCATGCCGACCGTCCCCAGCTCGATTCCAGTCAAGGGCACATGCCTGGGTTGCAGGCACAATCCCCAGTAGGGGGGGCATGCAGGAGGCAGCCGATTGATGATGCTCTCTTATTACTGACTAGAGGCCTGGTGCACAAAATTCATGCACAGGGGGCAGGGGATCCCTCAGCCCAGCCTGCACCCTCTCCAATCCAGGACCCTCTCGGGGGATGTCCGACTGCCAATTTAGGCCCGATACTAGACTGGAAGTTGGATATGCCTCTCATAATCTGGGACCACTGGCTCCTAACCACTCACCTGCCTAATCACCCCTAACCATTCTACTTACCTGCCTGATTGCCCCTAACTGCCTCTGCTTGCTGGCCTGATCACCTCCTAACTGGCCCCCTGCTGTCCTGATCACCCTCAACCGCCTCTGCCTGGGCCCCTGCCACCATGGCATTGTCTGGAAGGAAGTCAGACATCCAGAAGATGTCCAGTTGACCTGGTCTAATTAGCATATTACCCTTTTATTAGTATAGATGTTTCTATCTTTCTCTCCCTCTCCATTCCTCTCTGAAATAAATTTAAAAATATTTTTAAATAAATAGATAAAAAGGGAGAAATCCAAACCCATAGCTATAACTATAGCCCCTTTTCTAAAAAACCTACCAACCTGATGTAGAGTCTCTGCTTTACCTCATCAGATCTCCCCCACAGCAGGGCGGGTCCCTTTCTTTGAGGTAGGCCTAATTATGGTTCTTAAGTACCAAGGCAGAGACGTACAGGCTCGTCACAAAATGTTCTCTGCTGCGTTTTTACTCTCCATCCAAAACCACACAGCATCCAGACTTTACCACGTGACTCCAGCCCTCAGTTTTTGAGATTCCTTCCCTTTTCCATAACCTTTAGGTCAAACACAAAGATTTGGAACACAATAATGTCCATTTCTAAGTAGGGTATTGTTTTGATCCCTCTTTTAGCCTTCCTGAGAAGAGAAAGGATTGGCCAATCATAACTGCATCCCTTATCTGGGTAGGTGCAATGAGTAGGTAACTATTTTTTAGAAGCATCAATAAACAGTAGCCAATGGACACTTTTTTTAGAAAAAGATTTTGCAGAAGTACATTGTCAGTGTTTCTCTTGTTTGATTTGTTTCCTTTGTTTCAATATAAAAATTACTTACTTTAGAAAAAAATTAACAGTGACAATGTTATTTCCATCATTTTCCAAGAGAGAAAAATATCTAAATAAATCATGAATGTCCAGGATCGAGCAGGCTATCTTGTAATAGCTGGGGGGGTTTTTAATAGAAGTTTTGGTTGAGTACAAGGATAGCTTATTAAATATTCCATGTCCTGGCCTCTCTTGCAGCCAGATTGGCCAGGGAACTAGATGGAGATAAAACTATCTTTGTTTACAGATGACATAATCATCCATGTAGAAAATCCAAAAGAATCAACAAAATAAATCTTGGAGCCCTGACCAGGTGGCTCAATTGGTTGAAGTGTCATCTCGTACAGAAGGTTGTGGATTCTATCCCAGTCAGGGCATGTTACTAGGTTGCAGGTTTTATCCCCATTTGGGATAGGTATGAGAAGCAACTGATTGGTATTTCTCTCTCTATCTCTCTCTCTTCCTCTCTAAAATCAATTTTTTAAAATACCCTTGGGTGAGGATTCAAAAATAAATAACTCCTAGAATTAATAAGCAATTATAGTAAGGTTGTAGGGTACAAGGTTAATATATAAAAGTGGAATTAAAAAATGTAAAAACATTTTAAAAAAAAAAAAGAAAGAAAGAAAGAAAAGTGGAATTTCAAATTAGAAATACAATACCATTTACATTAGCAGCACCCAAAATAAAATACTTGGGTATAATTCTAACAATATATGTACAAGAACTATCATGAGGAAAACCACAAGATCTGTTATGAATCAAATCAAAGAACTTAAAAAATGGAGAAATATTCCATGTTCATAAATAGGATGATGCAATACTGTCAAGATGTCAGCTCTTTCCAATTTGATCTATACATTAAATGCAATCCCAGTCAAAATCCAAGCAAGTTATTTTGTAGATACTGGCAAAATAATTCTAAAGTTTAAACGAAGAAACAAAAGACCCAAAATAACCAAACCAATATTAAAAGAGAAGAACAAAATTGGAGGACTGATACCACCCAACTTTAAGTTATGATAATCAAAAGAATAGATAAATAGATCAATGAAACAGGATACTGAGCCCAGAAACAGACCCACATAAATATAGACCACTGATCTTTGACAATGGAGCAAAGGCAATACAAGAGAGCAAAGATAATCTTTTCAACAAATGGTGCTGGAACAACCTGCAAAAGAACAACAAATGAATCTAGACACAGACCTTTCACCCTTTACAAAATTTAAATCAAAATGAGTCAAAAACCTAAATGTAAATCATAAAACATATAACTCCTAGAAGATACCCTAGGAGAAACATAGGAGGCATAAGAGAAACCTAAATGACCTTGGTATATATGATAACTTTTTAGATACAACACCAAACACACAATCCATGAAAAAAAATTGATAAGCTGAACTTCATTAAAATTAAAACCTTGGCCCCAGCTGATTTAGCTCAGCAGGGCACATGACTGGGTTGCAGGCTTGATCCCCAATAGGGGTTGTGCAAGAGGCAGCCAATCAACGATTCTCTCTCATCATTGACGTTCCTACCTCTCCCTCCCAATCCTCTCCTGTCCTCTTTGAAATCAATAAAAAAAAAAAAATTTAATTAAAACCTTGTATTGCAAAAAGCAATGCCAGGGTCTCATTATAGGCAAGCCATAAACTGGGAGAAAATATTTGCAAAAGATCCACCTGATAAAAGGACTGTTATCCAAAATATACAAAGAAAAAAAAAAAAAACCTGTTAAAACTCACAACAAGCCCAGCTGGCATGGCTCAGTGATTGAGCATTGACCTATCAACCAGGTCATGGTTCAGTTCCTGGTCAGGGCACATGTCCAGGTTGCAGGCTCAATCCCCAGTGTGGGGTGTGCAGGAGGCAGCCAATCAATGATTCTCTCTCATCATTGATATTTCTATCTCTTTCTCCCTCTCCCTTCCTCTCTCTCTCACTAAAAATCAATTAAAAAAAAAAAAAACTCACAGCAAGAAAACAAACAATCTGGTTTTTAAAAATGGACCAAAGACATTAACATACAATTTATGATAGATAGGACTATAGAGATACATTCCTAAAAAGCACAGCTACCAATAAATAAAAATGGGCCAATGTCCTTAATGGACACCGCACCAAAGAAGACATACAGATGGCAAAGAAGCATATGAAAAATTCTCCAGGTCATGACATTAGGGAAATGCAAATTAAAATAATGAGATACCACCATACAGCTATTTGAATGGCCAGAACACTGACAAATGCTGGCCAGAATGTTGGACAAAAGCTCTCTTTCATTCCTGGTGGGAATGCAAAATGATATAGCCACTTTGGAAGACAGTTGGTGGTTTCTAACAAAACTAAACATAGTCTTTTTTTTTTTTTTTTAAGGGAATTGGCATCTTTTTAAAAATTTTACAGAGAGGAAGAGAGGCATAGAGTTAGAAACATCAGTGAGAGAGAAACATCGATCAACTGCCTCCTGCACATCTCCTACTGGGGATGTGTTCGCAACCAAGGTACATGCCCTTGACTAGAATTGAACCCGGGACCTCTCAGTCCACAGGCCAACACTCTATCCACTGAGCCAAACTGGTCAGGGCAAAACATAGTCTTAGCGTATATGATCCAGCATTCATGCTACTTGGTACCTCCCCAAAGAAGTTGAAAACGTATGCCCACACAAAAACCTGCACACGGATGTTGATAGCAGCTTTATTCGTAATTACCAAAAGTTGGAAGCAACCAAGGTATTCTTTAGTAAGTGAGCAGATAAACTGGTATATCCAGACAGTGGAATATTATTCAACACTAAAAATAAATGAGCTATCAAGCCATGAAAATACATGCAGAAAACGTAAATGCAGCCGAAACCGGTTTGGCTCAGTGGAAGAGCGTCGGTCTGCGGACTGAAAGGTCCCAGATTCGATTCCGGTCAAGGGCATGTAGTACATTGGTTGCAGGCACATCCCCAGTAGGGGGTGTGCAAGAGGCAGCTGGTTGATGTTTCTCATTGACATTTCTAGCTCTCTATCTCTCTCCCTTCCTCTCTGTAAAAAATCAATAAAATATATATATTTTTTTAAAAGAAAGAAAAGAAAACGTAAATGCATATAACTAAGTAAAAGAGCAAACTTGAAAAAGCTACATACTGTAAGGTCATATTTTCTAACTACATGACATTCTGTAAAAGGCAAAACTAGATAAAAAGTAAAAAGATTAGTATTAGACAAAGGGGGAGGGGGAGGATGGAGAGATAAATAGGTGGAGCACAGAGGATTTTTAGGGCAGTGAAAATATTCTATGTGACAGTATAACCATGAATATATGTCATAATACATTTGTCTGAACCCTTAGAATGTAAACACCAAAAGTGAACCCAACATAAGCTCTGATTAATTATGATGTGTCAACGTAGGTTCATTAATTTTAACAAATGTACCACCCTGGTGGAAGATGTTGATAATGGGGGAAAACTATGAATTGGGAGTGGAGGGGAGAATATGGTGGAATCTCTGTGCCTCCCTCTCACTTTTGCTGTGAACCTAAAACTGCTCTAAAAATAATTAAATAAAGTTTTTTAAAATATATTTTTATTGATTTTCAGAGAGAGGAAGGGA